TCTCTCCCTCTCTCTTTCTCTCACTCACCTCCCTCTCCCTCTCCCTCTGCTTCTCCTTCTTCTCTCTCTCCACTTTTTCTCTCTCCCTCCCTCTCTCTCTCCCTCTCTCCTCACTCATTAGAAAATACCTCAATATGAAACAATAAAACATAGGCAAGTTATATAGAAAATAAACATAAGCTGCAATATTATCACATAGAGATGACCACTATTAAATTTTTATGACTAGAATAAAGTACATTTTTTCCATGATTTAAGATAATATAGGGCTGGCGAGATAGCTCACCAGACTGAGCAACTGCTTAGGCAAGCACAGGGACATGGTTCAATCCTTAGCCCTGCCTTCAGGCACACTGAGTGGACCACTGAATCCAAGGCCTGATGGTACATGCCTGTAATCCCAGCACTGAGGAGGCTGAAAACAGGAGCACCACTGTGAGTCCAAGCTGCATAGTGAAACCCTGCACCAAATACATTAAATAAAATGAAAGATAAATATATACATAATAAGTGTACAACATTTAAAAGTAAAAATAGTTTTTTAAAAAATCAGGTTATACCATTATTATCCTGTTGTTTCACTTATCAAGATATTGCCAATGTATTCCAGTAAATTCATGCCATTTTTAATTTTTCAATATTATGCACTGCTAAGATGATACTTTTCATATTTGTATGTTTATGTATATATTTATTTATTTAGGACAAATTCAGAAATTGAATTGAAGGATAAAAAAGTTCAACTGTTAATGCTGATTTCTAATTTTTCTCTTCTTGATTCCTATACTCATTTACATCCTCAAGAGTGTTTTTATGGATGTATATTCATCTGATGTCTCAATATACGATGTTGTTATTAAATCTTTGACTATTTTAAGATCTCATTATAATTTTATTTTGTAGATGTTGATTATTCTTGAGCCTGCATTTTTGTTATACTTGTTGGCTACTAGTTTTGCATTTGGGGGAACATTTTATGTTTTGCTTTTTTTAAAACTAATTCATCTTTATTTTTTATTTGCAAGTGTGTGTTTGATATTAGGAAAGCAAACTCTCAGAGACAATATATATTTAAAATATTTGTCTAGATTTCATTTTTACTTGCACTGCTCTTAGAGCACTAATTTTTAATTTTTAAGTAAACTCCATCAAATTTTTTTCACTTTAGTGATTATATTATGACTAAGATTAATTTTAATGCATGATATGACAAAGAACTTTAAGCATCCCATATCATGTACTTAAAGTTAGCTTTTCCTTATGAAAAGAAGACACATATATTGTGACTTCCTGACTTGTATTTTCTATTTTTAATAATTTTATTGAGAAATAAATAGCAATGATGATAACAGCACTAGATTGCCATAGTACAGTAGATGATGCAATTAAAGCATTTGGCACAGTGCTTGGATGACAGGGTGGTTATTTCTATGTCCAAATAAGACTCTGGGTTTTTTGGGTATTTTTTTTTAAGTTTTATTACGGGAAGAGAATTTTTTTTCCTTTTTTTTCTTATTTTATTTTATTTTTCCCATAATTTTATTGATAAACAAATAGCAATG